GGAAGTTTCTTTTTGTTTCCAGAATGTTCTTTGTAAATGTAAGATAACTAAAGATGTTCTAAAAAGATTTGGAGAACTTCTCCTGCCATCTGTGGAGCAGGAGCCCCACGTTGACACCGCATCGGTTCTCCAGTCATGCATCAACCGGTCACTTATTCATTAGAATCACGTGACTTGTGGCTGATGGTGAACGTCGTCTGCCGTGTTGAAGCTGCTTCTGTCCAGCAGCACTCGCCGTACCTGTACATCCACTCAGGTGTTCTGTCTTCTCGCCACAGAACCTGTGCATCGAGAACGCCTGCATCGCTGCTCATGACAAGACCGGACGCTATGCCTCCATGTTCACCGTGGACAAAGTCCTCACTCCACCAATGGGGACCGTGATGGACGTCCTGAAGGCCGATGACCGCTTCAGGTGAGGACACTCGTGAATTATGTTTGCCAGGTAGACAATGGCACAGCATCAGTCACCTACTGAGCAACCTGCAGCAGTTCCAGCTGGTTTCCATCCACAGCTTTCATTGTTTCTGGGTGTTTTTCAGTCTGCTGGTCGGTGCCATCCAGACTGCAGGTATGACGGAGCTGCTGAACCAGCAGGGGGCGCTCACCTTCTTCGCCCCTACCAATGACGCCTTCAACGCCCTGCCACCGGCCGAACTCAACAAGCTGATGCGTGAGTATCTCCGGCTGGAACACCAGGAGCTCTGTGGTTGTCATGGAGGGTCTTTACTTCAGTTCTAAATAAGTCAAGTTAGCCTCCATAACATCTGAATCTACAATGATCAGAAAACACTCATAGAAAAGCAATCAGATAAAAGCACAATGCCTCACCGAAAGACAAAAACATTACAGTAAAATAAGAACAGAACAGAGGAGTAGGAACGAGTGCTGGTGATAATTCTGACGAAGTGCAATAAAAGACACGAAAGAAAAAAAGAAAATATTTAATATAGAGCACATAGAAATGAATGACACAAACCACTGACACTGATGTCAGTGTTCACACTAAGGATTGTGATCCTTAATATTCNGTTTTGTGTTGGTTGCAGGAAGCTGCTGTGGCATCCTGATGAATCAGCTGCCTCCTTGTCCAGACGTGACAAATAAAACCAGCTTGATTTTCATGTTTTCCACATTGTTAAAGGCAGCATTTCAACAAGCAGGCTGGCTTTGAGAGTTTCCTTCATGTCATGCTGTTTGTAGCTGATGGCTGTGGCTCGGCGCATCTCTTTCTTCATCTTCACCTGAAGTCAGTTAGCATGTCAGAGGAAAAACAGAAAGGTTTGCTGATTATTTTAAACCTGTATAGGACAGCAGCAGTGGAGAGAGAAGAGAAGTGGTGAAGGTCTGACCAGCTGGGAATCAAACCGTGAACCGGTGGTCTGTGGCTGAATCGCTCGGATGTCGAGTCGCCCTCAAAGGGTCTGAATGCATTAAACTGTCTGCACGTCCTGCTGCATCCTCCAGAGCTTGTGGTGGTGTGAGTCAGAGTTCATCTGCACGGAGCAGGAACCAGCAGGATGATGGAGGAACAACCACGAT